ATACCAGGCTAATATCTCTTGGTCAGTGTATGGACGACCGACGTCGCAGTCCCCATGTCACGGCTCGCCGAGATAATCGAAGAAACAAAGGCCGACATGCTGAAGAACAACATCCTTGGTAGCATTGTTGGCCACGTCGGGGACGGAAACTTCCATGCAATCCTCCTCTACAATGATCGTGAGCGAGCGACTGCCGAGGATGTTGTTCACAGGATGATCAAACGTGCAATTGAGATGGAAGGTACTGTAACAGGGGAGCACGGAATTGGACTTGTAAAGAGAGATTATTTGCAGGAAGAGCTGGGCGAGGAGACAGTTAACGCAATGAGAAGGGTAAGTCACCCCCCCCCCCCCCCCCCCCCCCTTTTCTCGGGGATCTCCTCGAACGATTATTGACCCGAGAGACGTAGTTGAAATATGCATTTGATCCATTGTGGCTGCTGAATTGCGATAAGGTCGTTAGAGTAGAGGCAAAAAAATAGAACTCATGGGGATGGGATTGCTGACTTGATACCTACCACTCACTCTCTGTGTGCGTTGGAAATTGTGTATAAAATCTTGTATATAGCTCCATGCATCCAGCTGAATGAACCTGCTTGCAACATCAGGCTAGAGATGGCGTTTTCTAGGATAGCAATGTTTATTGCAGACGGCGTGTATAAAGAAGTTTGATAAACAAGGAGATCAAGGGGAGTATGGCAATTTATTGACGGATATCCTTAATTTTAGAACCACCTTGCCACTAATAGCTGTGGCCAGATCTCAAAGTAACTCTGTGCCAGCAGTAACAGTGACGGCCAGCCAGTGTGATACGAGGCACCACAAGGCGGGAGGGACAGAGTATATCGAGCCGGCAACGGGTTCTGCCTCTGTAGGGTTCTATCTCGGAGCACCTCAAGTCAAAGTCAAGTCTCGCCTGCCAAAAAGGTACAGAATTCAGATAAGGAGAAGGCCAATTTCCCCTTTTTAATGCGCTTTCAGAAATACAACTTTACGCTATGATCTCGATCTGCCTCGAGACGATGAGGTGCTCTAGTTGGGCGTATAGTTTCACTATCCTCATGTGTGATAGGCGCTGATAGCTCGTGGACTCTTCCAATTAAGCTGTATTTACGCCCCACATGAAATATGTGTGAGTGATATGGTATGATGATGATTTTCCTCTACAAAATTCCTAGCACAGAAAGGTAAGGGTTAGTATCCCTTAAGCTATTACTTAAATGCTGCCAACATGAGACATGGTAACATCAGGCGAGCCTCGCACGAAAGCCACAGAATTGAGATTAATACTTCATAAGGGATAGTGCTCCAAGTATTAAATGATTATAAATGCTGGTAAGGGTACCCGCATTTTAGAATTAAAGCCGCACAGTGTAGCGTAGGTCCTGGGATAGCTACATGTAGGTTTCTGGAAGGCACCTCCTTAACTCTACATAGGACATACATGTAGAGTAGCTAGTAGGCTTGACCAAGCATTACTATTGCTTATAGCTGTCTCTAGATCTGACTTAGCTCATCGCCGCCTTTCGTGTTTTTAGCGGCTTTGATACGTACATGTAGCCAAGAGTGGGGGGATGGCGGGGAGAGTACACTAATGCATGTAGTTGGATTCTCGTTACTCTAGAGACCTTAAGCTTATACAGCAAAATCTATCATAATTCCACCCCCGTGGTGGTCGAATTCCGCTGGAATTATCGTAGGGATGGAATTTAGAGAGAGGCCTTTGTTAGCGGACTACAGGTATCGTTCCCTCCAACCGCTGGAAGTTTGGTAGGGATAGAATTTCGAGAGGGTGGAATTATGATAGGTTTCTCTGTATGTATGTTTGAACTTCTGTCGGGGCTCCAATCAACATAAAACATCTAAACACAAGATAGTGAAGCTGGGGTAAATTACATGTAGGTACTCATAATTCCACCCGATCGAAATTCCATCTCTACGAAGCTTCCAGCGTTCAAAGAAAACAAAGCCTGTGTTTTGCTAGAAAATGTCGATAAAGGACAACAATGACAGCCGGTCAGTTGGAGGAGCGGCTACCTGGCCGGTTGAGGTCAGTTGAGGAGGCTAGCACTTGGCCAGTTCGGGGAGCAGGTACGTGGTATATTCATGTAGTGAAACGATACTTGCCTTTATCGTGGATTAGTTAAATATGTAGTTAACTAGACTCAGTCCCTTGCAATAAATCACGTCTTACCAGTTTATCAACAAATACCTCTCTCCAAATTCTATCCCCACGATACCTCCCGCAAAATATGGACGCCGTGAAAAGTGGAACTATGGTAGGTATTGTTGTAACTTTGTTGTAACTTTGTTTCGCGCCAAAAGGCACCACTCAAATTAATAAGTATTATTAGCTATAGCAATTGCCACATATACCTTGATCCTACAGGACGCAGGTCTCGAAGGTCAGAACATATATATAATGAGTTAGAGTATTAAGGAAAGTACCGACGCCTCCAGGTCTCATTCATTATCTTTACGCCATCATTCAAGTCTAAGACTATGTCTTAACCCCAACCCCTCTATTCTGTCTCTCGGGCGAGTGTGATGGCGATACTCTCAAGCCCTCGAAACGAATACGATATATACGGAATTTGAAATCTCCAAGACATACTGAAAGAATAATGTTCTCATTTGGACTAGCCATACTCCCAGGCATATTCCGGGATCTTGCAGTCGAAGGTAGAGCATTACGGCATAGGTATCCCACTCGGCATACCTGGATATCTTGAGAAATTCCAGTTTTCTCTCCATCACCCACTAAATAACCATAGCACAATCTGTCTCCCCACACATGTGCAGCACAAGAATCTATAGCTATGTACATGTACATACGTACTCTGCCATCCCTCACCGCTCATCGAGTGATAAAAACCTCGGTATCCTGCGCCGGCTAAATGCGCTCCCAAGGAACTGTCAAATAAATAAGGTTCCATGCCCACCAGAAGCGGAGAATTGACGGTTCTAGATCCTTCAGCCCTTCTATCGCGAAATTGAAAAAAAAAAAAAGAAAAAGAAAAAAGCCATCTCTGGTTGGCTCGAACCCCAGATTTAATTAGGCGCAACCGAGATTTTTAATTATCGGCGAAACCATCACCTATATGCCGATTGTTATCGAATTTCAATCTGTATGTATATCCATTTAGGCCAATAATAACTAGGAGCCAACAGCGATATATAGATCTAGAGGTATCGACCGCAATGGCTACTAGCTGTTCGTAATTAATGTTATCCGTAATGAAGGAAGGTCTTTGGGCACTATATGTACCTATGTGACGATCCTTCAATGACAGGCGAGGAAAATCACCTAGGTAGAGCACATGGCTATTCGCAAGAAACCATGCATGTAGGAGAGCACCAGACGCTACTTCCGCGCAATAAGGCTGAAGGGGGTAAATATGCCTGCTCCCCCATCGACCGCTTCACATGCGCTTGATACTCTAGTTGGTGCATACAAGTACTTCTCTGAAGCAAGTCAGGAGAAGATAAGTACATAAAGCATCCAACCCCTCCTCTGCCAGCTGGAGAAACAGTGTAGTCCAACGCTAGCGAGACTTGATCTCGGTCAATAGATGTCCCTAGTGCGCCACAGTCCTGGAAACGGGAACGCATCTTCATGACGCTGCTTGTTCGGCCGGCCCCCAATGCCCGTTCCAAGATACCCCTGATTCGATTTCGAGCCTTGTCCCTTGCATAATGCGCGAATTTTTGCTGCATCTCGCATGGATGGATGGAGGGCACTCTACTGTAGAGTAAAGTACCTAGATGCTCAACGTAGTGTATGCACATCACATGCTCTGATCGGCATATTGCTAGAGTACTCTATTCCACACAGCAAAATGCCTGTATCGAGAGGGGAGGAGTAGAATATAGGGGGGGGGGGGACTATGATTACCTCGAGCTTGGAGGATATGTTCAAGGTTCGTTACCTTATCCGATGTTTCGGGTCACAGGGGTGTGATGTAGGTACAAGTAGTTAGGGTATGTAGGGGATCGTCACTAGTTGGTCGGCGGTCGGACCTGCAAATCCTAACGGTTGCGCTGAGACATGAGTATTACGACGGGCCCAATCGTGTCGCAGAGGTCGTACGCCATGTGGTGCTGGAATGCCCACCTACGTAGGCGCTACACCTACTACAGTACTACTTTCGAGAAGGGCGCTGTTCCACTCTGCCCTACTCCACTCTCTCTCCACTTCACTCCGGATCAGCACCTCCCTCCCCTGCTACTCCCAACTATTCTACGAGTCTGCTCTACTCGGGCACGCCGGGCACATGGCGGGATAACGTCGCAGTGCAGCCAATACCTGCCGAGCCGAGAAGCGATCTGTGGGGGAGAGGCACGGGGGGATGCTAACTCAATCTAAATAGATTCCCTCGACCTTTGTCTTGCGTGGCCTGGCGGGCTGTCAATGATTGCAATATCTTCCGGGAATACGATGCGATATTATACAAGATACAACATCCACACACACACATAGTTGGAGATTTGAATGAGCAAGCAAGTAATTAATAGAGGCTCTATCTCAGTGTATCATAGATCATCTAGATGTTGAAATATATTATATATCTATCTCTATGCACCCTCAGCCTGCACAACACGTAATGTCGGTGCGCGGGAATAACAAACCTCCGAGTATGCCGATGCAGCGCAGGCCCGCAGGGGCCCCGTTCGTCTGATCTTCATCGCTCCCATACATACACGTAGATCTGGTGTGCCGGTAGTGTCTGGGACACACACACCCACTCACTCGTGGCTATATACGTTTAAGCATTATTTATTGCTGGGTTATTTTCTTGGTCCTTCTCCCGCACCCCTGGGGGTTGACTCCCGTCTACATATATGTACATAACCGGGGGGAGCACCCAGATTTCACGTATCTACAGTTCTGCCGTTTTCATAACCCCCCCCCCCCCCCTCTTCTCCGGACTGCTTGCTTGCGCACTTTGAGGTCCCTAGCTAGCTCACCTCACCATTCTCGTTGATCGCTGGTGATGGCAATGGATATACAGCATGCTGCGATCCTACTATCTCGATATGACAGAGCGGCCGAGGCAGCCGCAGCCGCAGGGTTGAACCACGATAACCGGGGACCGGCGCTCGTGGCGACGTCCTTGTCGTTTGGGACAGTGATGTTAATTGTTTTAAGTGCGCGCATCTACTGCCGTGCGGTGCTGCTGAAGAAGATGGGCGCGGATGATTGGTGCATGGTTCTTGCTGCTGTGAGAAATTACCTGTTGGGGATTCTGGTTGTTGAGAGGAAATGATTGCTGAGGGCTGGGTGCGGAATATAGGTTTTTGGAATGGGGTTGATTGCGTGTGCTCTTTGTGGTATGTATGTTGAACTGGGTGTGGTGTGGTGGTGTTTGTGTGGTGAAAAGGTGGAAGGTTAACAATTCGGAATTGTTCACAGGTGTTTATATGACCGGAGCCGGAAAGCATGTTTGGGACATAACCTGGCAAGACGGCGTAGCTAGTCAAAAGGTGAATACCATCCTCCAGCTATCCGCCCTCCCCAACGCGCAAGTCGCACCACTAAAACCCTCATGTGAATAATACAGATTGGCCTCGCCGCCCAAATATTCTACTTCATCTCCCTGGGCCTGACCAAAGCCTCCCTCCTCCTGTTCATAGTCCGCCTGCAGCCCTCCGAACGCATGGTCCACACCTGCTGGGCCCTCCTCATCCTCTGCACCGCCTTCACCATCACCGCCTTTGTGTCGTCGTGCCTGCAGTGCGTCCCGCTCTCCTACCTGTGGGACCAGGTCAACCCGTTCCTGGCGGGCACGATCGAGCACCACTGCGTCGACCAGAAGGCGCTGCAGTACGCGCTGCCGTCGATTAACATTGCGACGGACTTTCTGGTCTGGTTGTTGCCGATTAAGCTGATCTGGAAGGTGCAGCTACCGAAGAGGCAGAAATGGGGGCTGGTTATGGTCTTTTCGCTGGGTGGGCTGTGAGTGCTAAGTGCTTTAAATTTCCGGTGATGCTCTGTGGGGGTTGGTGCGGTCTGACATTGGTTGAAATCTTTAGCGGTGTCCTTGCGGGTATATTGAGACTCTGGAGTGTCGGAATGGCCGTGAAGGGGCAAGATCGATCCTGTAAGCTCCCTCTTCGTCAATTACTTCCCTCAAGTCCACTCACTAACCACCACCACCACCACCACCACCGCGTATAGGGGATTACATCGACCTCACTGTCTGGTCCAAGTAAGTGTTCCCACCCCACCCCACCCCGCCCATGTCACACACATCTAACCCCGCCACAGCGTCGAAGTACTCGTCAGCATCACCTGCGGCTCCGCCCCCGCCGCCCGCCCCTTCTTCTCCCGCTACCTCCCCAACTTCCTCGGCGGCACGCCCAACGCCAGCGCCGGATCCGACCAGCCGCACGTCTTCTCTCCCAACGCCCCGCGCAACATCGGCACCGCCCCCCGCTTACGCAGTAAGCAGAACCAGAGCGACACGTACATTATGCAGTCGTTCTCGCAGCATGACTCGACGGAGGAGTTTGGTATCCGCACGAGGGTCGGCGGCGGGGATGTGGAGAGTGAAGCGGGGAGGGAGGGGGAAGGGGAGGTGGATGGCGAGGCGGACGCGGAGGCGGTGAATAAGATGGGGGTGGGGGTAAGGGTGGAGGAGAGGGTGTGAGCTTTGTCTGTGCGCGGGTGTGTGGCGTTTGGGGGGTATAAAAACCTGTTTTGTGTTTTGGTTGGTTCTGTCGAGTGAGTCATGATATATCACTCGGCGATGAAAGTATTTTTTAATATGTATTTTTGTCTCTTAATCTCAGAGAGAATTTAGTTAGAAAGAGGGGGGGGGGGGGGGGTTGTGGGTGGTTAAATGATGTATATAATGCTCAGACGAGTGGATGTATGAATACTACATATTTTATCATGTCCTGCCCGGTTGGCTGTTCGTGAATCCAACGACACATGGCTTATGAAACTTAGGGTGACAGGGTCACGCCAATGAAGAGACTTTCCTAATACATGCGAGCACCCACCTCTCAACGGGTGACCCAAGATCTGTGCCATGCCTCCCGCTGACAGCTGTGTGTTACCGGCCACTCCCGACCACCCTTGAAGTACTCTAAATCTGCTTCCGTTCCATCAGTGCCGGTACCAGCCAAAGGGATAACAACGCCACACACACGTGGGAGTAATGCTATTCTAAGCTACAACCATATGTACCAGAACCGTTCTTTCAGCGCTTCGACAATCTATGTTTCACATTGCACCCTTAGGACTGCTCGGGATGGTATGGAATACCTAGATCGATCGTCCTTGGAAGACGTGTAGATATGTTGAGCACGTTTCCTACATATGGGAGAGCCGAAAGGGGGTGGGGGTGGGGCGTGAAGAGAGTAACTACATGTGGCATTTACGATTATGATTACGCACATGGGATCATGCACTGAGGTCTTACAATAACCGGATACATATGACGCCACGGTGTTTACTCTACTCTATAGATAGCAGAGCACATACCATCCAGCCCCACACAGATCAGCATCTAGAGCACACAGGGGCCAGCCTACATACATGCTTGCATGCATGCACGCAGATCCCCAGGGCCGGAGCTCGATCACGTCACTTCATGACCGGGCGTTTGGGATTCATTGGGCCATATTATTTCCCTGGCACCTGCAGGAACATGGCTCTGGATCTAGTCACTGGAGCTTATCATTGACAGGATCCTAGGTATGCCAACATCTACAGGTTCAGCGTGCATGTGCATGATACTAGCTTTTGGGCGGGATCCGAGAAAGGGGGTGTAGGTGGTAGATATCCTGGTGTAGATCTGGGGTTCTTGTGGGTTATTTTGGTGGAATTGGGTGTAGGACTGGAGGGTAGTTATTCGTATGTACTACCTAGCTGCCATGCCAGGACGGGGCATGTGTTGAGTGTGTGTGAAAGACTATGGTTATGTGTGTGAAGATCAAGATGGGGCCGGGGTCATACCTGGTCCCTCCTTGGACATGAGTTTCAGAGTATAAAAGGGCCTCGATATTCCTCTCCGTATGATAGTACAGTAAGTCGACTAGGGAAGTCGGAACCGCCCGCATATACCCTTCTGGTATAAACACCTTTACGTCTAGATAACCGAGTGATAATTGGTGATCGAGACGAGTTCGTTCCTTACATAGGTATTCATTCCACGCTCTCTGTCCAGTCAGTGGCACTTTTATACGGTGTAAGATAGAGAATCATAAGTATAACATTCCTCCTAGAACCTCAACTTGCAGACTCTTGCATGAATAAAATCATAAATAAGAAATTTACAGTACTCTGTGATGAAAAGGAATAAACAGCAACGGGCTACATGTATATAGGCGTGCAGGTCGTATTGTAAGGTCAGCATGGAAGGAAAAAAGAGTTGTTGAAATAAAGAGGAAATCAAACAGAATGAGAAGATATTGGTAGAAAAGGAAAAAATAAACCAAGATGAAGGCTTATGAAATATTGAATTGAAGAGTTAGAGGACAGGAGGGTCGGCAGTAGCTTTTATTGTCTTCGTATCTGTTTGTGCGGGGATGGTCGGTTGTTGTAGTCCGATCTTGAGACGTTGATTGATGAAAAGATTGATAGAAGAGTGGTGATGATAACTTAAGGGTTCGAGCATCGCTCATTTAGTGTTTTGTAGATCGTTGTTTTCCGAGTTATCTTCGCGGGCCCCGGCTTTCACAAGCAACTTAAGAACATATCGACGGTTCTTGGAACGCGCTGCTTGCAGTGCATTGTCGTACTTTCCACCCTGAGCGTTGACATCAACCCCTCGATCCAAGAGCATCTGTACGGTCTCCTTGTGTCCTTCAACTACAGCTACTTGCAGAGCATTGCCATAGTACCCACCCTGAGCGTTGACATTAGCCCCTCGATCTAAGAGCATCTGTACGGTCTCCTGGTGCCCTTGACCTGCAGATGCGTACAGGGCATCGACCAACATTCCACCCTGAGCGTTGACATCAGCTCGCGCGTTGAGGAGTATGCGTACGACCTCTAAATGACCATAATAGGCAGCCATTCCTAAGGCGCTGTTGCCTTCCGCACACTCCATATTAATATCTGCCCCCTTTTCTAACAGAAACATTAATGTCTCCTTGTTCCCAGCTAAAGCAGCGATATAAAGTGGAGTATGGTTTCTATTGTCGTAAGAATTGATTGAGAACCCTCTCTTCACAAGAAATTCGACCACTGATATTAATCCTCCGTAGACAGCGTAGTGTAAGGCTTCTTTGTATTTCTCCTGGTTGGCGATTGAAGTCTCGAATCGATGAGATCTTTCGAAGAGGTGGAGGATATTGAATGATAAGCAATAATTCAACGAGTTGATAGACTCGGTCCAGTAAAATTCCTCCCCCTCTACCCGAAAAGCCGCGAGAAGATTTTCTTCATGGTTACCATCGAGAAACGTGTCAATTAAATGAGCCAAGGACTCTGATAATTCAGGGAGGCCATTGACATGCTGATACCAAAAAGCTGCTGCATATCGTAACAGTGGAAAACATCCTCGCAAGTCAAACCAAGCCTGTCCCTGGCCCAATTCCGGTAACAACAGATATTGGAGGCAAATTTCTGCCAGATTTGCGTGGTGATTTATGGTAATTTGGTATTTTTGGAGAATGGTCAAATCAACGCTATCAGTTAACTTTGAGTCGATGGGAGTGAGGAATTCTTGGACCGTGTAATGAAAAGGCCGAAACCAACCGCCCTCAAAAACAAGTAGATTACAGCAGGCTTCGAGAAGTATTTCTTTATCGTCTACCTGATCCAAGTCTCTGTGCGTTGTTGTTTCGGGTTTGATAGAAATTGCGATTGCTAGTTCTTCATGCCTCAGTGGTCTTTTAGCGCAAATTACCCATATCAAAGCCTGTCGGGCTATCTCGCGCTTGGCCGGAACCTGTTTGTCGATTCTTCTTAAAATTCGGGTGTACGTTGCGTCCATGTCAACCGGCAGTGTGCTCAGGGCTGTGACAATATCTCTGGCCGTTGGTTGCTCGTAAATATAATCCAATTGGTATTTAACCCATAAAAACCTATTCATTGTTAAATTAGAATCATATTATATAGTAGAATACTAGCGAGGCGAACAATTATAACTTGGTGGGTCATGTGACCTATTTGGGGTCACGACCTGTGGAATACTAGTAGAGGAAACTTACATCCCACCCGACTTAGATGTTAGGGTATCTATGATTCTTTTCTGGAGTCCTTGATCAATGATGCCCCTTCTCATTTCTTTGATTCGTTTTTCGACCTCATAACGAACAAAGGTGGCGATATCGGCGTCAACCCTTTTTACCTTAATCTGGATTACAGGGAAACCATATCGAGTGAAAGCGTTTTCAATGTCCCCCTCCTTGCGACTCGTCACAAAGACCTTAAATTTTATAGAAGAGTCCCTGGCAAACCTTGTAATCATGGAGAGGAATTCTTTTCGGTCCTCAAATTCGTCCATTGCATCCATGATAAGAAATACTTGATCGAAGGTTTTTGATATATCCAAAAACTGAGCTTCAAGCTTCTCTTCGGTTGGAAATCTTGCATCGCGATGATACGCTCTATAAAATTGTCTGAGGCCGCTTGGTATAACTCTCTTTTGGCGAGCAAGTTGTTTAACCATTGTGGAAATGATCTTGGTAGATTTTTGAGTTTCTTAATCCTGGAAATTGAAATATACAAATGCGATACCAGTCCGGCTATCAAAAGAATATTTGGTAGAAATCTTTTCTAGGACAAGGGATCTATCAAGATATAATTATCAGAATTGTTGCCTTTAATTTCAAGGACCGGAAAGAATGACGGTACTAACGCTAAAACTGACTTCCCAACGCCAGCTTTTGAAAGTTAGTTTTAGGAATTAACCGTGTTCTTTTGAGGGGCTGGAATATCTTACGATTTCCGTGGCACCATAATAGAGAAGACTTCTTGGAATCATCCCATTGTTTAAACACTGGGGACTCAACAAGCCAGTCCCCAGTATCCTGATGCCTTTTCGAGAATATCCGGTTATGATCATGGTCAAAGTCCAGTTCTGAGAGCCATGATAGTACTTTATGTCTATCATCATCTTCTTTTTCCTCCTCCTCCAATAACTTCTCGGAACGTAGGCGTTCATATTCTTCGATAGAAGCTGTCCGAATCACAATTTTTACATGATTCCTGAATTCGGAGAGTAAACAATTGAAATTCTCCTCGAATGGTTCCCACGTAGTCTGCAAGAACACTCGAAATGATACCCAGCGACTGTGGTTCCCCTTCTCATCTACGAAAATTTTCCTTGCGCCTGTAAAGAACTTGAGTAGATCACCGTACGCAGCAGAAAGTGCCTCTTGTACTGCCTTGGATCCGTTAAAGTACTTTGCATATTGAGATAGATATCCTAAGTGGCCAGCCAAGTGCTCCATCATCTCTGCCAGCTTATTGAAGAAGTTTATGGATTTCAGTCCGAGTTGAACGATGAGCTTCGCGCCTCCTACAACAAGGGAAGAAATTTCTGGATTATGTCCGATCATGATCGCTAATGGTTTTAGATATCCGTCCACCGCTGTCAAAAACCCCTGGATTCGAGATGCGTATCTGCGAGAATAACTCGAGTCGTTGTGGGTGTCATCATAGTCCCTAACTTTAGCTATGAGGGTGTCCGGCGTGATACTACTGCTATTGTTGAATGCTTGTCGTTCCTCAGGGGAAAGATCTTTTATGTGTTTTTTCAGAGCCAGGACAAAAGCGGGGTTTTCTGTTTGCACAGGCAACGGACCCGGTGCAGGCAATAGACTAGGCGACGGTGGGTTATTGGCTGCTAATGTACTATAATCTATCAATTCAACTATCGGCTGAATTCCAGTTTAAATTGATGTATGTCCTTACAAGTTCGATGTTGAAGCCTGCGCCCCTGTTGGCAGAGGGATCGGGCTAGTAGATCTAGAGATAGGACTAGACCTCCTAGCTTCGATGAAAGTCCGGTACCGTTTACGGAGCTGGAGTGAGGTAGGCATTCTCGGGCCAGATACCTTTCGATGGAAATATATGCTATAATTTGAGATAGTCCAGCCCGTGTAATGAATGCGCAATGCGTTTTGTTCCTAGATCCCTCAGCTGCCTGTTTTAATATAATATTACGTGATTAATCCATAACAACGCAAATTAAATCAAAAATCAAGAGAGCTCACAATATTCAACTGTTGTTTTATATAGCTTTAGCAGCCCTAGCTAGCTGGTCGTGGATATTTGGTAGATGGACGAAGTGCGCGTTTTTACAAGCTCTAGTCACCATCGATCGTCTCTCCTATTCTCGATCGATATAAACCCCAATTAACTAACCCCAAAAATGAATGCTGAGTGATAGCCTGTCCTATATCTTCTCAAGATTCTACGGTTAATAGACTCCTGAGAACGTTCCAAACATCTGCAAGTGATCTTTTTGCCCCCTCAACCGTAGATTAGCTCGCGCCGACAAATCTCATTTTTCTCATAATCCCATACCCGTTTGATTTGGTCGAGGCTAGGAGACTTGGGGGGTCATTTACGGCTTATAATGTAATGCCGAGATCTTTCTGGATTCCTTCATCGACTTTGCGTGCTCTTTCATATGCGAGGACATTATCTTCAACAATATCTGTTCAAGGCATACCGGTTACTCTAGTTAGGGTTCGTTAGTTAGGGCTAGTAGGGTCGATTTCTCGAGGTCCTGGGAATACCTAATTTCTTATTATTGGCATACTAGTCAAAATAATGAATCAATAGCTTTGCTTTTCTAACAATATCGCTTGCTTCTGACAACTATTTGCTTCTGATATCACTCAAACCCTCAATAAACCGCACAATCTCTTCCCTTCCCTGGGGCCTTATAGCACATTCAACGTGCAAAGCACCCTGTACAAAAATCGACTCGACCCTCTCCCTCCCCACCATGTCCCTCATAAGTTCCTCCACCTCAACAGTCTCATCAGCTGGCACAACCTCATCCATTCCGGCGCTCACGACCAGGACCTGCACACCCCCGCCCCTCTTCACCACTTCTGCGCATGCCTTCATATCCCACGTGCTCCACAGGAACATGGACAGATACCGATAAGGCAGCCATCGCTGCGGATACAATGCACGGAGCATATTCGGCACACTCACAAACGGCGTTTCTAGTATCAGCCCCGTCACCCTGACCCCCAAGCCCCCGGATCGAAGATAGTCCGCCCAGCCCTTGAGGGCAATGCCACATCCAATACTCTGACCCCAGAGAATGACCTCCGTGTCGGCATAGTGAGGGTCCGTCTCAAGGAGCTTAAAAACCGCGGACAGATCCCGCTCTATGCCGGCCTGTGAAGGCGTTCCCGTGGATGTCCAGTACCCGCGGTATGAGGGGACAAGGAACGTGTACATTGCGGCCCTCTCCTTGGCCAGAGTTGACAAGATCGTGGACAGATATGGGAGCCGGGGAGGGGTAGAAGAGGCATTGCTATGGCGAGCAGGGTGTTGGCGGGTTGCGAGAGTACTTAAGGAATGGCATGGAGGAGGTACCCTTGGAAGTATAGAACGAGGATATGCTTCTTACCTGCCTGGCCGCTTGTTGCCGTGACAGAGGAGAGGCGCTTTCCGTCGGATGTGACTATGTGTTTGTGGTGTTCGTGCCATTGTATCCCTTTGAACAAATGCTTATAGTCCTGCAGTGTTTCTCGTTTGGCACCCAGCGGGACGCCTGGGTGTTTGGTTGTGAGCATGAGATGAGGTTGTTTGCAACTGGTGTTTGGGATTGATTAACGAACCGGGCATATATATAATCTTATTCTGAAACAAAACCATCATCGCACACTGGAGTTTTCACCTCGCGTCAGTCCGATGCCCTGGAACATCCAATATAGATGACATGATACGCAATTGCAACTCCATACCTTGTACACCCATAGCGAGATGACAAGACCCCCGAAGACAACCGGTGGAACCAGCACCGCAGGTAGCGAGGAGAGAATGCTTATGTGACGGGTTCCATGCGGAATATACCTATTTAATAGGATTTTTTGAAAACGATAAACTAGAGGACGTTGCATTGGGCGTTATGTTCAAACAGCGAAGTAGCTGCGCTATCCGAACGTTCTTCAAGACACTGGAGTAGCCGCATGCAGCTTGAGGGGTATTGGTTATGGCGGTATGGGAAGTACGCTTTTGTGACAGATAATACGCACTACCATGAGAGATATAATTACAGCTGTTTGCATAATATTAGGCCCAGGCGAGCGTCGTAACACATAGTGCGAATCTTCAGGCTATTACCTCTCTAGGTAATTCCCATAGCTTCATTAGGCAATCCTGCCGAAAGTTTAAATTAAGATGCCTCAACGGGTATCTCGAGTTGCGTAATGGAGCAGCCTTGCTTAACTTTGCAAGAGTCGTTCTATGTGATATGTTGTTCAGCTGGGCCTAATATTATGAAAACAGCTGTAATTGATTACATGTAGTTCAGCCAGAACGTCAACCTCAACTATGAACCCTAATACCTTGAGAACTCTAAGTACCTACATGTATGTGAGGTAGTGGGGATTTTGGTCTTGTGCTCGGGTCTACATACCTACAATTTAGTAAGCACATACGTATACGAGTAGGTCAACTACATGAGTAGGACGAATGTATGTAATTGCATGTAGTTACACTTCACTCAAAATCACTCGTTCAACCTTTACTACGCACAGACTCGTACAACCAGTACCAGCAAGATTTCCTATCTCTCCAACTCAACATTCCAAGTCTCGATATCATCATCACAAATCGTCAAATTACTATCACTATGGAATCTCTATCTCACAACTCCCCACCAAGCATGCATACACAAAATTAAAAATTACCTCATGACCAAACCCCACCTGCAGTACGCTCAACACTTATCATTCTCACCCTCATCGTCCGAGTCATCATCATCCACTGCCGGGCTATCCGCATACTCGTAACACAAGGGCCCGGTCCCCGCCGCCAATCCCTGGATGTCCATCAGATTCCTCACCGTGATGTTCTTCGCCAACGGGCCCATCTCGATCGGGAAATCCAGTGTCACGTTCGGCCCGGTTATGGGTCCTAGCAGCTCGACCGACCCAGAGATATCGAGGAGTCTTGCCGCAAGGTTCTGCGACTGCCAAAGCCAGTAGACGCGGTCAAGGTTTGCGTGGTGGAGGTAGAAAACCGGGTCTAGCTATGTCAGCAAGCGATATTTTTTATAGAGAGTGGGGGATGTTTATATTACCTCCAGGGCTGGCATAAAGATCGCCGGCCTCTCCACCAATGGAGTAATGCCCACCGCCGTGAATACCAACATTGACAAAGTTCGTCTCTCCCTCTACAATCTTGTCAAACCAGCCAAAGTCGACCTGTGCAAGCGCACGGTCCACCTTTGCCGTATTCGAGAAGTTCGCGGCAATGACAGGACTGAATCCTCTGGTGAGGCAACGACTAGTCGCATTTAAGGAGTCTCCAGGTCCAAGATGGAGCCGGAAGTCTACGAATGGGCCGTCCGAGACACAGCCCCCGCCTGTTGCCCCAGGAACAGCAAAGCTGTTATTGGTCGCCGGGATGGTCGCCCCGTTGCCGCCGAAGCCGGTGGTGGGGTCCCATAACGGGGAGGAGAGGAAGTCGGAGGAGTCCAAGGTCCAGTCCCAGTATGGCTGAGCGCCGTTGTAGCCACATTCTTCGCGGAGAGCTTTCTCGTAGGCGGCCACGTAGTATCTGTGCCATGCAAGGAAGTGTCCCTGCAGAGGGGGGTTAGAGCTTATATCTGGGTCTGGGGGCGGCACTGATACTTACGACAAAGTGGATCTGGAACGTCCGCTGGATGTGGACACCCTGGAAGTCATCGAACCGGTTGATTGCGTTCGGGATTGTGGCGGTAGCAATTGATGGGGTTGTTTGCAGACACTTTACGGCGGTGATGTAGCTCGCCTTTTCAGAGTCCTTTAATGTTCTCCTGCCAGCCAATCAGTGTGTGCTCAGAGGTCAAGAATATGAGGGAGCATCATACCATTCTTTGCGCACAATTGGATTCCGACATGTATCTGCCACAGGAGCAGCACTCACGCCCCCAAGAACAGAGGCCAGAGAGAGCGCAGAAACTACAACAGAGCTAACAGAACGCATATTTTCAAGAGTATGTGAGGGACGAAGAAGCAACAAATGAGACCGCCGAGGTTTCTATTGACAATGTAGTATCGAGAGGATGAGAGTCTTTAGCAGTTTATAAGTACTGATTTTTATGGTATGTGGGTTCGTCTCACTTACCAGCGCACAGCCCTCATCCTCATGGTTGAGAAATTTCAAGAACCCTGCCCTATGTAATCTAGAGTACATACATGGCCTAGAGGGGTACATGTATTGACTGACCTGCCTGGCTGGAAAAACTGCCTACCTACATATCTGCCTAGATCAATGTATGTACCCAGGCATCTCCACAGTTCTCCACATACCTACATGGCACTAAGAATACATATAGTAGATCCTTGTCGTTCGTCTGTCAACTGTCCACCCCAGATATCGGAACGGAAGGAACGAACGCGTTTTCGTTCTTCCTCCATATGCCATCTACCGTGGGCGGCGAGTACATACGTAGATTCACTAGAAACATCTCTTCACAGCGGGAACTCGGCAGAAACTGAGTGCATAGTGGCATATAGTACTTTACATATCTCCATCGACCCTCGAACCACAACGCTAACAATCCACTTACACGTATATAGACAAAGATATGCCTGTAAAGTCCAGAACACAGCGCCTCGGGCGATTAAATAGCACAGTCCCACCAATCTACACCGCGGTTAAATTTTTCGACATCAAATTCCCTACCTGTCGTCGTCGTACTGCTTGTCGATGTCAAAGCGTAGAGCATGTAGTACTCTAGGTAACAATTGCACCCTAACGTTAGTTGATAATTCTTAATCCGGCCTGCATTCTTTAACGTACAAGAAGATTCGTTAAGCGACCTGCATTAGCTGGTAGAGTAGAGTTAGCTCTCGGTAGCTCATTGCTCAGGCTGCCTGCGCACTAGTCTATCAACTGACTCTTAGCTAGAATCTTAGACACAGTAACCACTAGCTTAGCGAATAGGCTGCCAGTGTCAAAGAAGGCTTGACTGTCTGACTGACTCTTTTTGATTATTCTCCACAACTATCAAAAGGGTCTCATGCGCGCGTCACGATGAGACCTGACATGAGGCTTGTGCTAAACTAGATCGCGCAGCACTTTATATACCCGGCCGTGGTAAATACGGTTATATTGGTTGTTTTTTTTGTAGCCGACGTTACTACGACTAAAAAAGAAACAATCATTGGTTAGTCCCTATGATAATATTATTCTGTGCTACTTTATCCTAGAATAGTGATCCTTTTCCTAGAGTTTAGAGCTAGAGAATTCACATGTCAAGAGCTCGAGCTTGTAAAGGGATACCAGGTAAAGGGATACATCAAATTAGTCTTAGACGACGACGACAACGACGGAAAGACGAGGAGGGATAGATTGTTGACGGCAGATAAGTCTAGGCGAGCCCTTATGATAGAGTAGGTATTGTCATTCCAAATCAACTGATTGTTGCAGCTCCTTTACGGGGGGAGGAGGTCAAGGAAGTAATGGTATGTAGTGGACCTAGGGTAGACCTGGCCGATCCATGAACAAATTACTGTTTTATGAAGTTTTGCACATCCCTCACGACGACGCTGCTGAAACCTTTATGAGCGGCAAGAGATAGATTAGCCAGCTTGACCATTATTATACAATACATGGTTCGTGAAGCTTCTCCCCTAACTAGACGGACGGGCTGGACGTTTTCAATGCACGTAGGCTAAGGACTGTCTGTCATCGCGGAGTGTGCAGGAGGTAGTATGAGAAGGGCTTGCGAAAAAAGGATGTACCTATGCACTCCACGTACACGTTACTGATAGACCAATAAATCCCAATTCATAGTATCATACAACGCCCGCTTGCCCGCCCGCCCGCCCGCCCGCCCGCGCCCACCACCAAAGCCTCCCAGCCCCAAAAAGCAAAACAAAACAAAAGAAACAAAATAGGCACAAAAAAGGCATTACAAAAACGATTTCATAAACCCGCATCTATACCCACTAAATTTTACCCCACGGCCCCCTCCGCCCCCTCTCCTCGTCCACCACCTCCACCGTCACATCCGTCGTCCTGATGATCCCGCCCGCCTTCGCCACGATATGCTCCTCGCTCTCGTTCCCCATGCCCACGCCGCGCCCGCTCACGTTCGTGATGATCTCCGCGTCGCGCCCGGGCCCGCTGAACGACTGCAGCGGGATGCGGTTGATCTTGCGGTTGTAGTAGGAGGTGGACTTTGGGTTGCTGGAGCTTGTGGTGGTGGTGCCGCCGAGGAGCGATTTGACGAGGGGCCGGAGGGAGGGCGCGGAGGCGGAGATGATGGCGACGTTGATCTCGACCTGGGACCAGATTAGGATGAAGATGCCGTCGTCTGTGTGGTCTGTTAGTAGCTGGCCGGTGGGAGTTCAAGCTTTTTGGCCCCGGGGCCGGGCGGGCTTACATGGGATGTCGGTCGAGTGCTGGAAGATGTACAGCGCATTGATCCTCACTATTGATGCGATCACTGCGACCCCACCGATGGAGAAAACGAGTATAAGAGCCACTATGGAGTCATGGATTAGCACCCGGATAGCATGTCAGATATCTCACCGCTTCGTATAAAGAAGGAAAGGTAATGATACATACCTCTTTTCCTCTTGTTAACTTGCAACCGCAACAACGACGGCAGCGGTAACAGCAGAATCACAATATCAGAAAGAATGTTGAACCCCGCCTGCGCATAGTACACCGGCACAAGGTTATTGCAACCCATCGGGAACGTCGGGGCCCACGCCAGGCTCGGTTTCTTCGGACACTCGAAAGCCTATATATCCACAAAAGCCCATCAGCAAACTAACCAACGTGCCAGCCAACCAAACTTGATTAAGCCCAAAGATATAAAAGAAAGAAAGAGAAAAATCAATAAACTCACATTGACAAACACCATAGCTATCGTAAACACCGTCACCATTCCCGCAGTAATCTTGATTGCCAAATGGTATCCTTGCGCCGGCGACAGCCGGCGATAAAACGCCAGAATGCTCATCTTGACGAAGAAGAGCGTGATGAGGTAGAGCATCTGGTAGATATACCACACCTTTAACGTCCCCACAAAAAGGTCGGCCGTGGACGGCTATAATCATAGTCAACCATTAGTTTAGCTCGAATATTGCTTGATTCCGCCAGGAGTTGAATATATATATATACCAGGTCCATCATATGGGTACTATTAATTCAGTAGTAGAGTTAACGTTAGTAAATGACTATTATAGAGCATTGTCTTGCACAAGAGAGCGGTAATTGGCTGCTTACCCAGATCCATATTTGACTTGAAAAGTATTAAGCACGCCGATACCCCACGCGTTGAACTATGTCACAGCATCGTATCAGTCTCAGTCCTGCTACCACCTCCTCCACGAGGTTCATGCAGGCCGCTGGCGGCCGTGTGAATACATACCAGCGCTACCAACATGATCCAATCATCGGGCCCCAGACCCCGCACAAGAACATGTCGACAGTAGAACCTACCACCCACTCAGCGGCCAATCAGCATACACACATGCAATAATAATATCAGGATGCAGCATATATCAGGCAAAAAGAAAGCAGCAGCAGCATATGTATAATTCTCACCTAAACGCCACAAACACCGTCGACAGTGCCAGCAGTGGGAACTCCACCGCGAATAACAGCGGCCCCAAAGTCATCGTGCAATTAAAAAGAAAATAAATATAATAGAAAGAAAGAATCTGTTCTCCCACCAGCGGCCAGTACTTGTAACTAGCAGCAGGAAAGGTTCACCTATCCTAGCTGGCGATAGTGTATATATATATATATATATAAGGCTCTATCGTCAAGTTAGGCAGATTGGCCTAGCTGTAAGCTGGCTGCTACTGCAGCTGGGGAGGGGGGGTGCCGTTGTGGGGGCTATGGTACGGTATGGGGACGATTACTTGCTTAAATCTCTTCCTTTGATACAGGGCCCTTTCGAAGATCTTATGGAAATTTCGAAAGGCACGTAGATCTATATATTAGCGATCGAAACCGTTGGATTGCCTCCTCAGCATCCAGCTCTCCGCCATTGCATTTCTTACATGACAAAATGTCTCATGGGCCGGACGGTGGTTGCGGCAGGGGCACACACTCCATATAGAGTACCTATTCTAAAATATGAATGCATGCAGAGATCGGAGACCTCCGTGGGAATGGTATGGGCGTAGCACTTTAGAGCAGATGTGTCCAATATATTGCTTTGTGCATACTTGGGTACATGGTGGACCAGGGCCTCTTTTTTTTTTCCCTTCCTTCCAGCTCCAATTCCAAGAATTCTGGAGTTGGTTGGTAGCGAGATGACTACATGTAGTGCTAGAGAGAGGTACCGGCGGGTTTTCCTGTGCAGAGTCTAGAAATTTAATCAGTAAATCAGATGAGCGTCAACAAGGATCACAAATCATACTTTTCGCTAGTTTATGTCGTGTATACAGGGAGAAGGATCATGGAAGTGCGTATAGGCACATATTATCATTCACTCTGCCATAACTAGCGTGTGGGATGATGTACATACTTAACCTGGGGATATCAGGACTTGGGTGAATTATTATGTGAACAGTCGAACAAAGATGTCAAAGTGAGCCCTTCCGCCCAGCCACACCTGATCAGACGTCTTGGAATCTTGGAATCTCGGAATCTTCTTTTGAGACCTGATGCTAGCAATTACCCCACTCCCCGCGCGCACCATCTTCCCGGAGACCCGTCCCGCTAGAATGTATGCAAAAGCTTTCACGTGCTGAACAGGCTCAACATCCTAGCGAGAGCTGCAGGGGACGATGACCTTAACCGTGTTTCGGGTTAGCAGGCTGGAGGATAACTAGAGCACCGTAGTGCAAATAAGAAACCGTCGATAGGGGTAACGGAGCAAGTAGTAACTCACCGAAAATATTACATCCCCCCCCCTTGCAACTTTTTTTCTTTTGCAAAAGAAATAAATAAAATTCGATCATTAATGCTGAATCTGCATGGGCAAAGATCTCTACTTTCTTTCTCGCAAACATCAG